AAAAAAAAAAATCCTCGATCCGCGGTTGGTGCGGGACTTCCATCAGCGCCATCCGGCGAAGCCTGGGGGTCGCCGGGGGGCTCCTGTTGGAGGGGGGGTACTGTCATGAGGGCAGTTTTTGGTGCTCCTCCTGTCTCTCACTCCCCTCCCCTTGTGTGTCTGTGAGTCTCCCCCCCCATTGCAGGTGCCTGCTGCGAGGGCCCACCTGTGTCTCATCAGGCCAATCGGGGAAAGTATTTGTTTGCTGGAAATCCACTCAGCCAGTGCCAGTTCGTCCCTTGACTGCGGTGAATCAACGCATTTTGTGATACTTTTGAGAGACTGTTTTTGGACTTGTTTAACGTGGTTTTTGTATTTTCCTCAGGTGGAGGACCTGCTTTCCCAGTACATTCCTGGAGCTTGTTTTGGACTTTATTTTTGTTCTCCAGTGATTTTTGTTTTATTAAATTTACTTGTTACTCCTTGGATCCGCGTTTGGAGTCTATTTTGTCAAACCACAACACATAGTATATCTTACACAGAAACAGATTTTTTCACTTTTTTAACTTGGCTGCACATTTACTGTTTGCACACACTGAGTGATCCTATTTATACTAAATGTGCTATATGCGCAATGTGCAACCGCTCCATCAATGGTAAGTTCTCTTTAGACTGTGGTGCATTTGCCTTTTGTGCTGCAGACAAAGCTAGTCCTCCCTGGAATGTATAAGTCAGGTTTGTGGAGCTGATCTATTTAAGGTGATGCAATTGTGTTCAGTTTTTACAGAGTCAGAATGCAGTATGATTCTGTACAGTGTGCGTTGTTCTTAATGTCTACATACATGATGGATAAAGAACCTATCTTTCTTCATGTGTCTGTTTTGTGTTTTTTAGAGTGCTTTGTCTCTGATCTGTGTTGGAGAAACGACGAGATACTACTGTTATAGGACTATACAAAGATAAAGATAATAATAAATTGAATACTTTGTGGAGAATTACAACATCATAGAGAACAAGATGATTATCGATGGCTTTTATAAGTTAAAGCAGTGTTTTTTTTTAAGGAACTGACAGCGTGTACAATGGCGTGTTGTAAGAATCTCAATGAATTTCATTTGTTGATACGTGTTGTTTGGTAGTTTTCGTAAGCATCTCCACAGAGGCTTTTGCAGTTATATTAATCTGCCACTTTAATAAACTCCCGTATACATTTGTAGAAAAGGGAGCATTAAAAAAACCATCTTAGAAAAGTACAGCCAGTTCTGATCCTGCTGCGTTGCATAAGTGCCCTGCTTTGTCGTCTGGGAGTCTTTTTTGGATATCGGTGCAGAGAGCGATGCTGCCCTTGGCCCAGACCTCCATCAATAATTACTTGGCTTTAAACGTTCCTCGCAAACTCAAAGTTCTGTTGTTCATTTGCTCTTTCTGCTCTCGCATGAGAAGCACAGCAGTGGGAGGTTGCAGCATTCCCACCGCGATGTGCTGAGATTCGGACAAGACTAATTTGAGGTGAGGAGGGTGAAGGTTTGGCCTGGGGCTGTACTCTGGACCGAGTCTGGACTGCGGCTCTTTAACAGAAACTGTTACAGACTGCGGTGCATCTGCTCACAACAGACTTTACCTCTACAAGTCTGCTCAATATCACTTTTAGATTAGATATATTATGCTAAATCTTCTTTTGTTTTAGGTTTTTATCACGTTTCCCACTTTATTCCTCATCAAAACAGACCTGGAGTCGTTTTCCATCAACCCAAGCTAAAATCAGATACAGATACCTCCGCCCCTTCTGTCTAAAGACTCCTGTCTCAGTCAGATAAAAGTGTGATGCCATTGCACCGTTATGACATCACTTTGGGCCAGGACTGCTTTTGCCCTTTAGAACCACTGGCAATTTCTCAAGTGAAGTTACGTTCTTCACAATTGTGTGGCTGTGTTTGTAGACAGTAATTTTCACATTTCAAAAATGTACATCCAACACCTCCCTCTGGGGGTAGCATAGGAAAAATTACATTAAATTAAATTAATTCTTGTATAGCCCTAAATCACAACAGTAGTTATCTCAGAGGACTTAACAATACTATACAGGCTATAGATCCAGGACCTAAGCTGCAGAACTGGAACGAAGGCCTTTTTACCCTTCATTCTGGTTTCAACATATTATTTCAAATTCTAAAACATAAAATGTCAAAGTAAATACTAGGGATGTATCGAATCCAGGTATTTGGGGTTCGGCCAAATACCGAATCCACTGGTTAAGATTCTGCCGAATCCGAACCCGAATACCGAATCCTATTCCATCCTCAGTCCATTTATGTTTCATATGCAAATGTTTTAACAGCGGCGGTGTTGTGCACTGTTTAGGGTCCTTACCACCACGAGACAAATCAGCATTGCAAATTGGTCATGTAGCTCGACCAGAATCTATTATTATAACATTTATAATAATCCCGTTTATCATTAAACACAAATACATTCAGTTCACAGCAGTGTAAAACTTCAGAGATAAAGTACATATATTACTGTGCATGTCATGTAGAAATAAGAGCTAAAGCTCCATACATGCATAAATAGCTTACACTGGTTCAGGTCAAAACATTACATATATGGACATTTGAGAAATATGCCAAACTCGTAGAGACAAGTTGGAGAGAAGCTAATGCTAAGAGGCTAGTTGCCTAAACACGGACTCACCAACTCTGCTTCTACGGTCATACGCAGCTCAGATGACAAGTACCTGGCACTGGTAATCGGCTCCATAAAGTTGGTGAATAGGAAGTTAGTTTATGATCCATCAGAACCGCATTACAGGTGAAAACAAGAATCATAACATCCCCTCGCACCGGCGTATGACTAGAGCTAATTGGACCGCGGGGATCACATGACCAGGAAGAGACCTCAGCGCACCCGAAGAGGAACAGAGAGCAAGAGGATATAAACCTCCGCTAAAGTGCATGTTTATTTACACTTCCGAACAAATCTGATTTCCGTGACGAATCCAACAGCCACATCGCGCATAGTGTAAGTGCAGGGTTCGCGTTCGGTGGGGAAAGTTTCTAAGGTTCGGCCGGAAACCGAATCCCTTCAAAAAAGCCAATATTCGGCCGAATCCGAACCCAAATCCTGGATTCGGTACATCCCTAGTAAATACTCATAGTCATGTTTAAAGACCAAAATGCATACCGTTTATTTTAGTAAACAAAGATAAACAAGAGCCTGAGAGCCCTATTATTTGTTATTTTAGATTATGTCCTGTCTCTCTATGTTGTTATTTTAATTGGAGATCACACATTACATTCTATTGTTGTTGGTTGAGCATCATTTATATCAAATATACCAGAAGGGAAAATGGATTGAAAAACTCAAGAAGTCAGGCCAAAATGGCTTTTCTTGTTCGGGGAGCTTTTAAGCTTTACAGTGAGGTACAACATGTGTATATTGGCCGATGTGAAGTTGGCTGGATGACACTGTGATTGTGTGTTTATGTTCTCAATGGTTTTATTGTTTGATTTTATTCATTCGAGCATAAATTATTTCACAATATTTACATTAGTTTTGAAGAATCTGTGTAATGTTGCCTACTGTGCCTAAAACATATACATACACATGCAAATATACAAACATAATTATACAATAAATGTTACTCTGCGTGAGGAAGGCAGAGGACCACACAATATCACACACTGGGCCACAATTGGCTCGCGGGCCTTAGTTTGGCCCAGTCTCCACCATGTCACCTCCCTGAACGATCAAAGTCCACTGGTTCAAAATGTGCCAAAAACAGAACTTCAGCTCGAGCCGCCTTCAACAGAGACGTTCAGTGAGAGAATGTGAGCGCGGCAGAGTGGTTATCCCTGTTTTTGACGGCTAAACCTGTGCCTGTGTGTTTGGAAGACGCTGTAGAGACGTTCTCCTCAGTGGCTGAATCTGCTGCTGCCTGTCACTGAAGTGGGGCAGCGGCGTCCCGGGCTGCTTTGAACACGCCGACATGATTTCAGGAGGCATCTTAGGGGAACACAATAATAAGAAAGCATCCTCAAAGGTGCTGGAACAAAAGCACAAAAAAAAAGAAAAAAAAGTTGAGGACTGGTGAAAGTTGCTGCAGCGAGAAAGTATTTGTGTTTGAGCTGCTGTTGGGTTTAAATGGGGAAGTCGCAGACAAAAGTGCTTATCACACTGTTGGAATCTTTTTCAGTCTCAGGTACTTTATTAAGTCCTTGTCCTCTTTTGGCGCTTGGTAAAAATGAGATACTATTCACCAAGAATACTGAATACTACTGCAAGCGGGACCTACTTTAGTCAGCAGGGGAACCACCAGAGCCGATATGAGGAAACAATGTTGTGAGGTAAAAGTCATTCAGATTCAGATTCAGTTTTATTTGCAGTAAAAAAACCACATAGGAATACCTTAGCAAAAAGTCTCCAGTGTGCACAGACAAATACAGACATAAAACAACATTAAAAGACAGAAATAAAACAAATAAAACAGTAAACAAATGTCACTGTGAAATCGATCGACTAAAACAGTTTTAAAACAAGTGCAAATCATTAAAGTGCTCTGTTCACACTGATAACAGCCTGTGGATAAAAACTGTTAGCGTAACGAGATGTCCTGCATCTCAGAGAGCGATATCTTCTGCCAGAGGGAAGAAGCTGGAACATGGCTTTCCCAGGGTGGCCAGAAGAGTCATTGACAATCCTAAGAACTTTGTTTAAAAGTCTGGATTTATAAAGAACCTCCAGAACAGGAAGCTCACAGGAAGCTCCAGCCAACTTCAAAACGTACAAATGCAACAGATTAAGGTCAGTCATACTGGAGGAGCTCGGAATAGAGCCACTGTTTCTCCAGGAAGAGGCTCGAGGATGCCGCCTGGACTCCTCCCTGCGGCAGTGTTAGCACCGGCATGTCCCATTGGGTGGAGACCAGGGGAAGACCCAGTACAAGTTGGAAAAACTGTATCTTTAAGCTGGCCTGGGAACACCTCAGGATTTCCCCAATGATGTGGAGGAAGTGTGAGTGGAGGGGGAATTCTGTGCGTCTCTGCAAAGACTGCTGGCCGGTCCGGCAACGGATAAAGCAGCAGAAAATGGGCCGATGTTTAGGGAGGGTTTGACCTAAGTATGTGTCATTTAATTTAGGGGCGACAGTAGCTCAGTTGGTAGAGCATTGGCCTTAAGCCCAGAAGGTTGTGGGTTCAATTCCCACCTCTGCACCTTCTCCACCGACTCCCACTGATGACTGCTGCCGTTGTGTCCTTGGGCAAGACACTTAACCCCACTTTGCCCAAAGCCCCCACTGAAAGATCAAGGCTATGCTCACACTCAGAGAGCAGCCGTCCTCCTGTGGACTCACCACCTGCAGAGGGTCAGTGAGGGGCTGGTGCTATGAGACTTGGGTGGCATCTCTGACTGCCACCCCCCTGACCCAGAAATGGATTAAAGGGTAGAAAATGGATGGATGGATGTGTCATTTAAGTCTTGTCTTCAGACCCGTTTTTTCATACTCTGCGGTTGTTTTTTTTAAACATGTTTAGATTCAGATTGATTATGTAGAGTGATGTTATTACAGTTTTTATTTATTTATTTGGGGGACAGGGACTTGTTCTTGGCACCAGTTTAACAAAAGACCCTCCTACAATAGAATAGGGCGCAGTTGAAAAGAATGGTGTCTGATTCACTGAAGCTGCTGCCATTATTAATTGGCAGCCTTCCAATGGGCGTCCTGTAATATCCTCTCTTTCACAAAGGCTTTTAAATGGCTCCACCGGAGGACTGAGTGACAGCTATTGTGCCGAGGAACAACCGGGAGAAAAAGTGTATCCAATTTCAAATAAGAAATGAGCTCTCAAAGTTAGTCCGATGAGGTGCTGTGGATCAATGAAGCACTTCAGACTTAAGTCATGAAAGACACGTACTTATATTTCACTTCAGGTTCCAGTGTGAGAAGGACTGCACCGACAATGGATATTTGTGTTTGGATGTATTTATTTATTTGTCTGGGACAGTACATGTGGATGAACATATGGTTGAAGATGTTTGTCGACACGTCAGATTGTAGCCAAAGGACCATCTTTCATCTGTAGTATCAGGGGGCGGAGTCACAGTAGTAAGTAGAAGTAATCTTTATTTCTTTACCGCCTTTTCACTGCAGATCTGAGTCTCAAAGCGGTTTACTATTGTTAATTATGGGCATTAGTCTCTCACTCCACACAGAGATGGGAGCGGGGCCAGTACAGGAGGCGCATGCCTGAACTATTGGACATATTTTTAGTGGTAGGGGAAACCGGAGTACCCGGAGGAAACCTACGCAGACACGGGGAGAACATGCAAACTCCACTCAGAAAGGCCCCGGTCCGACCGGGATTCGAACCCAGGACCTTCTTGCTGAGAGGCGAGAGTGCTATCCACTCAGCCACCGTGCCGCAGAGGTTTATATAAAAATACAAAACGAGAATTCATACACAGTGTCACAGCGTAGATCGATTCATATTTGAAAACACATATCCACATCTATTGCACAAACCCCACAATTGCACACAACCCAGTATTGCACACAAACATCTATTGCTCACACACACATTTATTGCACACACACAAATTTTGCACACACACATTTATTGCACACACACAATTTTTGCACACACACATTTATTGCACACACACATCTATTGCACACACAAAAACACACACACATTTATTGCACACACACATTTATTGCACACACACACACACACACACACACACACACAAACATCCATTGCACACACACACATTTATTGCACACACACATCCATTGCACATGTCCCTTGCGTTCACACAGTTGCACTACATTTATTCAATGCCTTAGAAGTGATTCTGCCCAAACCTGTGTCTCTGGCTCCCGTAGCTCACATACAAACGAGTCAAAGTTCAATGGGCCTCATTCAAGAATAACTTCGTAAGAAACTTCTCAAATTTCTTCTCAAGTTGTCCTTAAGTAGATTTCTAAGAAATCCCTACGTGGGATTCATCAACGCACTCGTAAGCCGCTGAATTGTTCGCAGCTGTTCTCTCAGATTGATGAATCCCATTTCCTCGTAAGTACAGCGCGCGTGCCCGGTGCTTCATTGGCATAGGTACTTAGCATAAGTAACCGCCCACTAATGCCCATATAAGGGAATGCAGGGCCGTGTGCAGACGGCAGAGGAAACAGCAACAGGCCTAAAGCAGGCCTTTACACGGAGCAAAAGAGTCACCCTTTTTTCTTCTTTTGCCAGACTGAGAATAAAGTTATAAAATGTTGACTTAAAAGTCGAAATATTATGAGAATAAAGTCGAACTAGCAAAATGATGAGATTAATCTAAGAATATGATGAGATTAATCTCAAAATGTTATGAGCTTAATTTAAAAATATATTATGTATTATTTTAAAGATTAATCTCAAAATGTTTTGAGATTAATCTCAAAATATTTTGGACCCGGGGAGGAGATCCAGCGCGGACCAGCGCTGAGACCAATGCAGACCCGAGGAGAGACTGGAGTGACCAGCACACAGAAACCAGCGCGGACCGAGGAGAGACCGCATAGACTGGAGTGACCTGACTGGAGAGACCGGTGCGCAGAGACCAGCGCGGACCGAAGAGAGACCGCATAGACCAGACTTGAGAGACCAGCGCGGACCCGTATGGATCCAGGAGCATGCAGCACGGACCCGTATGGAGAGAGACCAGTGCAGACCCGTCTAGAGCCATGGGAGAGACCAGTGCAGACCCGTCTAGAGCCATGGGAGAGACCAGTGCAGACCAGTATAGATCCATGGGAGAGACCAGTGCAGACCTGTATAGATCCATGGGAGAGACCAGTGCAGACCCGTCTAGATCCATGGGAGAGACCAGTGCAGACCCGTATAGATCCATGGGAGAGACCAGTGCAGAAATTCTGGTTACGAGAAAAATTCGTGAATGCCACTTTCTTCGTAAAAACCTCGTAAGTAGGATTTACGTACAAATCTGTTCCTAAGAACCGTTTGTGAATGAGGCCCAATGTCCTCTCCACATAAAGTGACTAGTTTTGGCGCAGAAATGGTAAATGCAGACATTACTTCATCGCATAACTCCATGTGACTAAATTATACACTTTCAAACCAGAGCCTGTCAAAAGTCTCTCCCAGTGACGTCCCTCGTGATAAACACAGAGCACTCAGTCTAAAGGGACAAAGTGGAGTGTTGAGCGGAGAAAAAGAAAACATTTTGATAAAAGTTTTGGTGAGTCTGAGCGATGACAACGGCGTTCGCTAAATTGATGCCAAAATGACTGTCATTAGCCCCCGGTGTTTGGAATGTTCAAAAGTGATAAATGTGTGGTATTTTAGTCTTCTTAGCCGGATGCAGCAGCCGCTTTCATTGAAATGGCAACAATCAGATTAATTCGGTCCACGGTGAGCGGATACGTTTTTGCTTTAACCAATCGCTGCGGTTGTGACGTACAGTATAGAGCAAAAGTTTGGACACCCTCTCTCCTTCACTGAGTTCTTTTCATGACTATTGCTGTAGACCCGCACCAGGCTGTGAAAGGGCTGTTTGACCAATAAGGAGAGAGATGGTGCTGGGCCACATGACCTCCACAGTCACCGGACCTGAACCCAGTCCAGATGGTTTTGGACCTGAACCCAGTCCAGATGGTTTTGGGGCTGGACCACAGAGTGAAGGGGCCAACAAGTGCTAAGCATCATGGGAACTCCTTCCAGACTGTTGGAGACCATTTCAGGTCCTGTTGAAGCTCATCCAGAGAATGCCAAGAGTGAAGCAGTATCAGAGCAAAAGGAGCTACTTTGAAGAACCAGAATATAACACATATTTACACTTGGTTCATACTTTTTTACTACGTACATATTTCCACATGAGTTCATACATAGGTTTGATGCCTTCAGTGTCAATCTACCATTTACATAATCATGGAAATAAAAAAAGTCTTTAAATGAGAAGGTGTGTCCAAACTTCTGTATGTAAGA